GGCACGTTTTGGCATTGGCAAGAGCAGCCTCCTGGACGGGCCAGCACTATATAAGACTAGCCTGCCCTACTGGCTGCAGGCAGTCAGGAGGCAGTTCATAGGAACTTCACAGGCACTTCACGTGCAGGAGGCAGGAGGTAGTCTTCAGGATTCGGCACCATCACTCTGGAGGAGCGCTGCAGGAGTAGTAGTGTTAGCAGTAGTCTTGAGCGTTGGGCGCTAGTAGGAGCTAGAGTAGCGTTGGAGAGAGAGAGAGAGCGATGGTTGGCGGAGGCCATGGAGACTTACCTATGGCGCCATAGCTCCAGCTTCGTCTTCGATGTACCTGCAACAAGGCGCCACCTTCACAGGTTAGTACCGGAGAGAGAGAGAGAGAGAGAGAGAGAGAGAGAGAGAGAGAGAGAGCAAGAGAGAGTTCTTCTTCCTCTTCTAAGTCCACCATCTCTTCCTCACCCTCTCGCTACCTGACTTCTCAGTATCCGTAGACTGCGAGAGAGAGAGATTGGTCACTTTGGGATTTGACGACATTTGAATCCAGACTCGACATTGGGATGCAGACATTTGACGAGGGATTATTTGTGACTGTACTGAAGACTTGGTGTTGACAACATTCCCATCTTCCCCTCTTCTTCATCTAATCCCCCTCTTCTTCGTCTGTGTATAGTTGGGGACTGGCGCATTCTTCCTGTGTGAGCTCCAGGCCCCTTCACACCATGGAATGATGATGATGTATGTTTGGTCTGCATAGCAACATTGATTGTTCGGATCAGTGGTATTTAACCCTACCGCTGTGTTACTTGTACTTTGTGAGAGAGGTCGGTTCTTGTTCTGGTCTGGGTACCGAAAGGGCAAGTAGGCAAGTCTAGAGTCTTCTAGGACTGCTTCTTCGAGAGTCTTAGAAGCAGTCCTTAGGCAAAAGTGGGCAAGTGGGTAGACTTACCACGTCTAATCAACGATACCCAGTCCCAGTCGCACCTTGTCTAGTAAGCAAGTACCATGCGGGACTGTGTGCACCCTAGGCCCGGTGGAAAAGAGCAGACCAGCCACAAACAGAAGTATAAATCAAGAGGCAGCGGTCGAGCGCATCGGTCCCGCACGGGGACCCTCCCGGCCGCGTCACGCAGGATTTTGCAGGACTTGTCGCGGAGAGCGTTTGCCGCTCCAGCCAAGTGCGCCAGCCGTACCTCTCGCGATCCCCTACGACAGGACAGGTTCACGCAAGGCACCGCTTACCTCCACCTGCGGGAGTTGTCACCATCCCTTAGGTGGGTGTATCCCCGCCGAGCTACTGAACCACATGCGAAGGCTTTTCGTATGCAATTGCAGAGGTGGCCCAACCGAGGGTGTTTCTCGTTCGCTGTAGCATAGGGGTTACGCGCGGTTGAATGCCCGAAAATCGAACCCGCGCACGAATCAACGTTCTGGGGGGCTGACGTCCCAAACGCGACTCAACGTCGGTCGACTAGGACGCACCCACGCGTTACACCACAACACTCACATCTACCCACACATAACACGTGAGAAAAAACACAAAACAAACACCACAAACAACACCACCATACCGGAACACTCCTAGTCCCTTCAGTATCCGACCCATAACTTTATGCTGCGGGACTCAGATACGTATTGCGCGCTGGATTTTCGTATAAGAGTCGTGCGAGCGCCTGACCTCCTCATATCGACCAGCCATGCGGGCATACGTAAGCATTCGCGCTGATGGGGTACTACGTAGTACTCGTAACCTCGCGGCCGTTGATAACCTCGAGGGTCGTGTTCGACACTCAAGTGTCGGCTGACAAGCGCTTTGAGGGGGTTACCTTCTTGACGCTAGACAACTGCCATGCGCGGTTGAAGATCACACCCTCTTCTGCACCCTGTGCAGAGGGGTTGAGTTGACAGCTTCAAGGTTGTCGTGGTAGCCAAAATCAAGGGGTTTGACTTTGACGGCTACCACAGACTACAACGTCCAACCAAGAAAACTTAAAAGAGGAATCAACTGCCAATAGAAAGAGGATCACCCCCTTCCCTTTCTCTGACTAGCCCATAGCCTGATGGCCGTCTCAAATGGAAGGGATAGGCCAACACGAAAAATGTGTATGGACACTGTCCAAAATCAGACCCATAGGTCGCCCGGCGTTCGAGACGTTGGAGGCTCGTACGCGGGTCCCCATAGGCCGACTAGGGCTAATTCCCTGCCTACGCGTCGCTCTGCGCTGCCGAAACTCGAGTCTACAGGCCATAACGCGCTCTTGCCCTCTTCGTGACCCATAACTTCTGAGCGCAGAAATCGGTGAGTGTCGCGCGTGTGGGTTAACATAAAACTGCGCGGACGCAGGACCTACGCATACCGACCAACAACGCGGATTTGCGTAAGCAGTCGTGATGTCGGCGCAATATGTAGTGCCCATACCCAAGTGGCCTCATTTGAGCCATGGGGTCGCTCTCGACGCTCAGGCTTCGGCTGAAGCGCGTGCTAGGGGGGCTAAACCTTTAGCGAGCGCAAAACCGGCCTGAGGGCCTTGCCATCTTCTGCACCCTGAGGTGCCCCAAAGGGTGCGGGGTAAGATGGTCCCTAGGGCAGGAAGGGATTCGGAGCGGTGGTGAGTTGTCTGGCGCATCACCAGCGACACGCTAATCCTTCCGCCGAACTTTATTGTTCCACCAAAACAATCTACAATAAGGAAAAAGAAAAAGAGCACTTGACGTTGGCAGGGGGACACATGAACGCCCCGCCGGTCCGAGTTGCTGGAGGACAGCCCCTCGTCCTTGCGGCGCTTCTGTTTCCCCGGGTCAGCGTCGTGCGAGTAAGTAAATCAGCCCCCGTGAGAGGGGTAACCCCGCCTGCACTGAGCCTAGGACCTGGGACGTCCTGGGCGAGGACCTCGAAGTCGGGGCTCGGGGCTAATGTCCGACCAAATAAAGTCATTGAGTAAGGAAATACGCAAGCGTGCGGTCGTATAGCCCTATGAGGGTTACCCGAGCGTACGCTTATGCTGACTATCACATTATCAGGATGGGAAGATAACAATCTCACTCAAACAAAAAGTTGTAGGGTGGTTCACTCTCACGGCAGTTGTGTGGTTTGCCCAACTGAATCCCAGACATAATCATTTAACATGACTGAATTGAGACTCTTCCATACATACCTGCCATAGTTGCGCCGCCGCAAGAAGACGCCGCGCACCTGCAAAGATATCGAAGAAGAAGAAGAAGAGAGAGAGAGAGAGAGAGAGAGGAGACATACCTGCCATAGCTGCGCTGCCGCAAGAAGACGCCGCGCACCTGCAAAGATAACGAAGAAGAAGAGAGAGAGAGAGAGAGAGAGAGAGAGAGAGAGAGAGAGAGAGAGAGAGAGAGAGAGAGAGAGAGAGAGAAGCGATACAACATTGGTTGTGCAGTTCAAGGAAGAAGGTGGCGGCCATAGCCATTGAGCTCGAACACGGAGAGGAAGACGGAGGAGAAGAAAGAAGAGACCAGGAAGGAGAGAGAAGCCATAGCCGAGGAGAAGATAGAAGAGACGAGGGGGGAGAGATAAGCCATAGCCGGGGTGAAAGAAAGGAAGGAAGGAGAGACGAGCGAAGTGAAGGTTGGTGGGAGAGAAGGGATCATCAGCCATAGCCGAGTTGAGCATTGACCAAGGCGTTGACCGGGGTGTTGACCGGTGTTGACTCAAGTGTTGATCGGGGAGTTGACCAGCATTGACCAAGGCGTTGACCGAGGCATTGACCGGGCCGTTGACCAACGTTGACCGGAGTTGTTGACCACGAATTTGACCAAGCTGGAGTTGGAATAATCTCGCCAAGCCTTCAGCCTATCCCCTCGCCCTATGGATGTGCACTCACCCCATGGTACTTGCTAAGTCTATCCGTCTTTTCTTTCTGCATTGAGTCTCTTTCGTCCAGGTGATAGGAACTCTGTGTATGTGGTCATACAGTTGTGTTAACCAAACCCACACGGGCTGAGTAGGGCTGCTGTCCATGTCTAACGACTGACACGTCTCGGTGGACTAACCCTCCCAAGGACTAGTATAGAACGGCGGGCTGCTGAGTGTGGCATGGTTGGCCCAAAATCCGAGTTGTGGGCTGCACAACTAGTTGTCTAAGTCTTGAAAGGACTTGCTGATCGCGTCGTCCTGTTTGCGACATTAAAGAATTCTTGAGGAGTTATGGGGGATCTCCTTAAATGCCTCTTGATCAGCAATAAAGTCATGTAGTGACAGCCTTAGTAGTAGGTCTAGGCTAGAGACCATAGTTGACAGGCTCCTAAAGGGATTTTGTAGTCCTTAGAGAGTCAATTGTAAGTCCGTGAGTAGGTCTAAGTGGTGAGGAGTGGAACAGTCTTTTGTTGTGTTACCCGATGTATGACCTGCTTGTGGGGTTCTCCCTCTGGGAGACCCTCTGGCGTTTCCTGTTTCCATTAGGCTTCTCGAACACATTCACGTGCAGAGTAGAGACAACGGGTGGTACAGGAGGCAGCAAAGATATTGGCCGAGCAGAAGGCCAAAAAGGAGAAGAGAGAGTTAGTGAAGCAGGCCAAGAAGTTGGCCTTACAGGCGGAACAGGCAGCAAAGAAGAACCAGTTGGAGGAGGAGATGGAAAAGTTGAACAAGGAAGAGGAAGAAAAGTTAAAGGCGGTGGAAGAAAAAAAAAAGGTAGAGGAAGAAGTCCCCTTAGAAAGAAAGGTTACAAGAAAAGAGGGGAGTCAAGGGGCACGAAGAAGGCAGGCCAGTGGATGGAGAAGAAGCTGTCAGAATGGGTTGCCAATTGTTGTGAAGGGAGTAGTCGGGAACTGAGTCAAGATCGCGGAGCTTGTTGTAAATGGTGGCGAAGTCTGGGCAGGAGAGATAGCCTTGGGTGTATCGATGATGAAGCGATGGAAGGAGTTGAATATGAGTCATGGTGGCGTAGACTTTCTCGGGGCGCTTGTGGTCGGGTCGTCGCGAGAGGGCATCGGCAACGCGGTTGCTTTTGCCGGGGGTGTGGCAAATGGTGAATGTGAACTGGGCAAGGAAGTCTAGCCAGCGGGCTTGGCGTGGAGTGATATCTTTCTTGGAGAGGATGGAGGAGACGATGGTGTTGTCAGTGCGGATGGTGAAGTATTGCCCGTCGAGGTACGGGCGCCAGAYTGTGAGGGYGTGAATCACGGCGAGGAGTTCCTTCTCGTTGGAGGGGTAATTCATCTCCGCGGGAAGGAGCTTCTTGCTTGCGAAGGCGATAGGGTATTCGCCAGGTGGAGCCTCGAGGTGAGTGGACGAGTCCTTGATGGGGGGGGTCTCGGCGGTGTCGCGGGGGAAATGTTGGGACGGTACGGCTCCGATGGCGAAGTCGGAGGCGTCAGTGGTGACATAGAAATGGCGAGTGGGGTCAGCGATCTTGAGGACAGGGGCCGTGGTGATGGTTTGCTTGAGTAAGTCGAAAGCTTGTTGGCGGCGATCGTTCCAATGGAAAGGCTCGTCCTTGCGGGTGAGTTCGTGGAGAGGGTACGAGATCTCGAAAAAGTTGCGAATGAACGGGCGGTAATAGTTGGCAAGGCCAAGGAAGGAACGGAGTTGGAGGAGGGTCTTTCGTGGGGGGTACTCAACGAGGGTTGTGACCTTTGAGGGGTCCATACGGATGCCTTCAGCGGAGACAATATGTATGAGGTATTCGACGCTCGAAGTGGCAAACGTACATTTGCTGAGCTTGGCGTAGAATTTTTGCTCTCRGAGGATCGCGAGGACTTGGCGGAGGTGCTGAAGGTGGGACTCGAAGGTGGGGCTGAAGACAAGGATGTCATCAAGGTAGACAACGACACAAACTTCGAGGAGGTTGCGGAAGATGTGGTTCATGGTGGATTGGAAGGTAGCGGGGGCATTGGTGAGTCCGAATGGCATCACGAGGAACTCGTAGTGCCCGAACCGAGAGCGGAAGGCGGTCTTGTGAGTGTCCTCCTCGCRGATACGGATCTGGTGGAAACCACTACGAAGGTCAATCTTGGTAAAGTACTTGGCTCCACGAAGACGATCAAGGAGCTCAGAAATCCGAGGTAGGGGGTACTTGTTCTTGATCGTGATCCGGTTAAAGGCGCGGTAGTCTGTGCACATGCGGAGTTCCGAAGTTCCACCTTTCTTGACGAAAAGGCAGYTGGTTCCGAAGGGGGATGAACTTGGCTTAATGAACCCTTTTTCAAGGAGTTCACGGAGTTGCCGTTTCATTTCTTCGGCTTCGGGGACAGAGAGTTGGTATGGAGGGCGGCAAGGTGGAGAATGTCCGGGTTCCAAATCGATGGTATGCGATACGCCACGATCCGGAGGTAGTCCAGCGGGTAAGGACTCGGGAAAGACGTCCCTGAACTCGTCGAGGATTGAAGTGATGGCGGGGTTGGCAGGCGGGGCTTGATCGGGTTTGTCCGTCGGGAGTAAATCCTTGGGACTTTTGCGATMAAGGACAAGACAGTAGTAGGCGGAGTCAGGGTTTAGGCGAGCCATGTGGAGGAATTGGTGCGGGGTGACAGAGCCTTGGGAGGTCGAATATGGGAGATAGGGGATGTCAATGGTTGTGGCGGGGGGGTTGATGAGGCGAAGGAAGTTGGGGTGGAATGCGTATGGCATGTAGCGGTCCAGCCACGGGGTTCCTAAGACGATGTCGCACATCAAGTGCATGACATCAAACGAGACCTGACTGCGGAGGGTTCCGACGGTCATGATGGTCTCGGGAACCGTGCGGTCTACTACGACGGCGGTGTCTTTGTCCCCTWGGCGAATCGTGATCGGGGAGTCATAGCCGGTAGAGGTAAGACCGGCTTTGCGGACACACGCGTCGGTGATGAAGTTACCGGTGGCTCCAATGTCGAGGAGGGCCCAGAACTTTGTTGTAGACGCACCTAGGGTGGCAGCGATGAATTTGAGGTGGAAACGGGATGAGTTGGCGGTGGAGATGATGGTGTTGAGGCGGCGTTGTTCCTTGCCTAGGCGGACAAGCTGATCGTGTCGGGCTTGTTCCTCAACAACATCGGAGAAGGTGATAGCGGATGCACCCGGAGGAAGGGTAGAGGAGCATGAGGCAGTGGGAGGTGTTTGCGATGCCTGGGAATCGTCCGATGGAGGGGGCGTCGCTGGAGAGGGGGAAGGCAAACGAATCGTCGAAGTCAGATGGGCCATCGGTGCAACTGATGGGTAGGCTGACAGATGCAATGTTGATGTCGGGTCAATGTCCTGGGGACTGTGTTCATGATGAGGAGGGGCCCGCGCTTGCCGAGGGCGGTGATGCGGAGGTTG